AGAGAGACGGGAAGGGACAGATTTTCTTCCCTCCTTAAAAAGTGGGTCTCAGGCAGTTAAGTCAGAGATGTTGCTGCCCTACTGGCAAAATGCATAAAGTTCAAACTGCAGATAGATGTACTTCCATCCTTACTGCTACCTCCACCCCCACCTTGCCCAAGCCAAGAAGTCCAGAAAGAACAGTATCTAGAAGATCAGTGGGCTCTTTAGAAGAGCAAGGTGCTGGAATAGAAAGGATACCGAAATCTGGACAGTCTCTTCTCAGGAATTTAGGAAACAACAAATGTAACACCAAAGAACAGCTTAAAAAGAGAATACAAAAATTATACATTAATTTACTTCATATAAAAAACCCCTGAGCATTTGCATGCAATTTGTATTGTGACAGTAAATGACAGTTACAAGTGTGATTGTATAGTTTTAAGATCAATTTGCAGATTTAAATTGGTCATAGGCAGGCAGAAAAGCAGTAAATATATATTCTAGGCATGTCCCTAATTTCAGTTGCTCATATTAATTCCTTGCTTTTCCTTTTCCCTTCCTTCTTAAATACGTATTTGTCTAACCTGATCAAAATTAATATTTTGCTCTTTTTCAGTGTCGTGAACTTTACTGTAATGATGATGATATCCTTCAAAATTCACACTTGAAAGTAATTTTGTTGGACCTAAACGGCAGTCAAAAAGCAGCATGTACCTTTGAGTTCTTCAAATGATGAACAAAAGCTTAAGGGATGGGGAAAAGTGACGGATTCTCAAGTAACAGATTTTGCACTTAAAGATGTCTGTACGAGACAAAGCAAGACTAGGCTAAAACCATTCAAATGCAGCATCTAAGATGCTGAGACAGTAGCCCCTTGCAACAGGTTGTCCCAAGGATGTACAGATGAGATTCCCCACTTTTTGGAAAGATAAAATTCAGGACCTCTGCTTATCCCTAGATAAAACTTTTTTCTTGGTAAATGAAAAACTCAAGTAGAAGAAACTAAGCTGCTACACAAAGCCAAGCTGACAGTCATAGAGATAGGAAGCCACAGTCTTTGAGGCAAACTTGTGTTTTCATTCTCAGTGGCCTGCTTTATTCTCCTCCAACATGACAAGTGAATGTGCCCCTGGAAGATAGCGGCCTGTGCTATGTCTGAAAGGAGACACAAATCCTTCACCTTGTTTTACGCCCCCCCAACAGTCTAGACAATTTAAAAAAAAGCGACTTCCTTTTTCCTCAATCTGTAAAATATTCAATAAGCAATAGAATCTTTTGATAATAACTCCGACATCTGTCAGGAACATGTTGCAAACTACCACAATTAGAAAGCAGTATTTTTGGGTGGGTGGGTGTGTGTTTTTTTTTTAAGGAAGAAAACAGGCTGTACAAATCACAGAAGGCATATGGACATTTTTACAGTTGGGACTTACAAAATAGTACATATATAGAAGATATACCTGGATATTTTACAAAGCTAGAAAAAAGATCATGGTAGCCAAAGAGCCCTTCCTTATTTCTTGCCTTGCCCTGTAGTTACAACAATACATTGCTAGTTAAACCCAGAACACAACCTGGATTCATTTATTTCAGTGCAATTGTCATTTCTTCAGCCAAACCTGGTTCCACAGCCTGGTCTATGAAGGTATTTCTGCCCTCAAGAGTATTCCAAAAGCCCATAGTTGATGTCCAGTCTTCGGGTGCCCTCTGGTGGGCACTGGTAGAATGATACTCCAATTGCTCAAGCAGGAAGAGATATTCAAAAAAGGAACTAGAAATTTGTCTTTGGTAGTGATACAGTTTAAAATTAGGAGTGGAAGGCCTTCTGATTTAGTGGTTAGTTGAGGCCATAAAGAACTGGGCTGAACAATTCAGTAATAATTCAAGACACAATATGGATGGTTTAGAATGTAATAACTTTGTTGAAATGAAGCTGGCCTGGCAGAGCCTGGATGGGGGATATTTACAGAACCTTTACCTGCCTTTTGCTCCATAGAAGAATGGATATATAGGTTAATGAATAAAAATTATAGATACTTATTCAGTTGCAGTTTTATGCCAAGAAAGTTGAAAATTTTTCCTTTCCACTCCCCTCTACTATTAGGGAATGGAGGTAAGGAAATAGTTATTTACTTATTTACTGGATTTATAAGGCTGCTCAACTCAAACAACGGCCAGCATACAATGGACTTCAGACAGCATACAATAAAAACAAACAAAAAAAATAAACCAGAAAAAAAATAGCCATACAAAATTTTTAAAATCCTAGTAAATAAAATGTAAAATGGCAAGTAAACCTGAATTAAACAACCAAAAGGGGACTCCACTCAACTGGATCCAAACATCTGGAGAAGAAGCCAGGTCTTAATTGCGTTTCTAAAGACAAGCAAAGTTGGAGCCTGTTGTATATTTCCTTCAATGCTGTTAATATTGTAATCTATAACAAACTACTGCAAATAAGAGAGAAAATATGAATTTTTACCAGAAAGTAAGCTACTAAATGCTTCATGCGGGTGGCAAATGTACAGTTAGAGTGTTTCAGTTTCAATGAACTCAAAATTTACAGCATATGCACTTTTTTTTTTCTTCCTAGCCATTTCCCGCATCTGCAGGATCTGCTTTTTTCAGATCAACCAAATGTTGATCCGTTGGTTGCTAGAGGAATCAACTGACCAGCTTGTTGCCTGAGCCTGACATCATGGGCTGAGAGTGACTGGCCCAAAGTCACCCAGACTACAGGTGAAACTCGAAAAATTAGAATATTGTGCAAATGTTCATTTATGTCAGTATGG